TCCCGTAGACGATGTGTTGCCAACATTTAAAGCTTTAATAAAAGAAGCTCCAAGTGCACTGAAGACTGTATTCAATTACTTCTCCGAATACTATGTTATTGGCATTCCAGCAGTTCAAGGAAGACGTCCTATGTAAGCTACACTTCCACGTTCTCCTATACAGTTCTGGAATCAGTATGATGCTGTGCTAGCAGGGACTCATAAAACAAATAACGTTAGTGAAGGATGGCACAATCGCTTTCGGTTAATTGTCGGCAAACACCATCCAGACTTGTACAGTGCACTAGGGGAGTTCCAAAAATAACAGGCCGATGTGGAGATATGCATCGCAGAGTTAGAATTAGGACGCGCTATAAAAAGAGCACCAAAACTAAAATGGATTGCTCAGCATGAAAATATCTTCGACAGAGAAATATCTTCGTTCATTGGCTCACACTATAAATCTCTGATAGATACTTTCATTTTTTATGTTAATAAATTTGTTATTACATATTCATTGTCATTATTCTTTATGATCGACGTCGGAAAGAATACTTGTCGTGAAAATGGTTGTCGTGAAAGCGGAGTCGGGAAATTGGGAGGTAACCCACAAAATAACCCATTCGTATAACTACTCATATCTTTTTCGTTTGCATATTATTCATAAGAATATCAATAATATAATATAATATTAATTAATAATAATTAATATATTATTAATTATATTGTTAATTATATTATTAATTAATAATAATTAACGGAAACAGTCCTGTCAGCAACTAGGTTGTAATATTGAATTTAAATTTTCTATTTGCTCAGCATTCTGCAACTGGGGTTGCCACTAGTAATAAAAGTTGTTGAATCAATTTAAATTCTCATTATCAGAAACCTAAATATTGTAGGAATTTTTCTTAAAGATATTATCGATGTGATTATTAAGATATAACTAAATTTGTTATACAATTTTAATTGTTAATAAACTTATTGTTTAATTAATTCAATGCAATACAGTCACTTCAGATCTGGCATTAGATCTGATGTCAGATCTTATACCAGATCTGATGCCAGATCTGGAGTCAGATCTTACATACTATTTTCACATGGGAAGAGGACATTGTCTGAAGCCTTCGCAATTGGGCTAGGATTTGGCACAGTAATTAACACGTTACGATTCGGCATTAAAAAATTACAAATAAAAATTAGTAAAACTCAAATTAAACTTACATTTTTAAACAATGAAGTTTATGCATTAGAGAAGCTGTAAAAAATATTGAGAGTTGTTGATTTGTTTTTCTCTTTCTTATTAGACTCTTTTTTCTTAGAAGGGCCTGCAGGAGGTTTAGAGCATGTGCGCAGGAAGAAATTACTACTACCCCCCTCCCTACTGTCTCGCATTTGCCCAGGCCCGAAGACCTGTAGGGCAAGGGAAACCTGGGGGTGTACGTAGTGCATATGCACTGAACCCTCCTCCTCCTCCTTCAGGGAAAAACCCGCCGCGAGACATGCGGAGTACATGGGTTCTCATCCTGCCGAATGGCAATCGGAAAAATCCGATTGTCCCCACCAGGATTCGAACCCAAGGCTCCTCGAGCGGCCTTTGTCTCTGTAGCTAGCACGCTAACCACTGAACCAAAGACCGCTCTGTTTTCCTCGGTCATCCTGTTATCCTACGATAGGCAGGATATTTCTTGACAGAATTATCGGAAACCAAAAATTCGACATATTTCTCGATTTTATACTTTTGGCTATTGATTGAAAGAAGAAAAAGTAAAAGAAAATAAAATTTCATAATTTGGTACGAGTTTGAATGATTTTTAATTTATATTGAGCAAAAATATGCACCTATTGGGGAAAAAAAGATAAGCGAATCATTCAAACTGGTTCCAAATTATCAGATTTTATTTTTCTTATTTTTCCTTTCTTAAGGGCTAACAGGGGGCTTAATTATTTTTCATTTTTCAATAACAGTACTAGGCTGTAAAAGTGGAAAAAAATGTTTTTTTCAAGAACACACATGATAACCCTATCAAAAAAAGTCAGATGATTAATCAGATGATTAATCAAGTGATAAGTCAGATGATTTATCATCTGACTTGTCATGACAAAACATCATCTGACGTTGAATCGATAAATACCACGTTAAGTTTCGATGGAATCATGTCATTGTTTAGGTGTGAACTTATTTTTCCTAAATATAGTTTTTATTGTATTTAATTAAATGAAATTATTTTTAATTGTAAGTCCAAAAAAATTTTTTCTTGTCATTTTTATCATTTTATTGTTAATTTGGTCATTTTTTCAATCAAATGAACCATGTCTTGATCTTATTTTGTAATGGTGGGTCTTTACAGTTTGCACTTCCATGAAGAAAATTAAATACTGCAACAAAAATTAAAAAAGTTTTTCATCTTTTATACAATTATAACATATAATTATATAATCATATAATTATAACTTTAAATAAATACAGCACATTGAAGGCTCCAGAGGGGCTACAATTATTCAATTTTTAAGTGTTTTACTAGATAAAACACTTTCCTTTGGCATATTGAAAGAAGCTGTTATGACTATTTTCAAAATTTTCATAGCTTTTTATGAGGAAAATACTCAAGGATACAGTAGTAACATTATAAACACTAATTAACAGTACCTTACACTTCACAAACTTCAAAAGTCAAAACTTGTTTCCACACAGCATATTTAAAAAATACATTCAATCTGATGACAGTTATCTAGACATCTAACATCTAAGGACAGCCAACCTAAAAATGGATGCAGCACCTGAAACATAAATTGTACCACAAAGTATCACTTTCTTGCCAAGTATATATCTCTGTATTTATGTATATAATATATTGTTATTTGAAGGAATGATTTCATTTTGCTTAGTAAACAAATTACTTATCTGATAAAGTCTATGTAAAATACTGCTGCAATACTGCTCGGCTGCGGGCGATGCCATCACAGAGCACCAGAGAGCCTCTGCTGCGCACTGACACCAATGGTTATGTTGCCTAGTGATCGCTTTGACAGCAGCCGAGCAGTATTGCAGCAGTATTTTACATAGACTTTATCAGATAAGTAATTTGTTTACTAAGCAAAATGAAATCATTCCTACTAATAATAATATATCATATACATAAATACAGAGATATATACTTGGCAAGAAAGTGATACTTTGTGGTACAATTTATATTTCAGGTGCTGCATCCATTTTTAGGTTGGCTGTCCTCAGATGTTAGATGTTTAGATAACTGTCATCAGATTGAATGTATTTTGTAAATATGCTATGTGGAAACAAGTTTCAACGTTTGAAGTTTGTGAAGGGTAAGGTACTGTTAATTAGTGTTTATAATGTTACTACTGTATCCTTGAGTGCTTTGATTTAAAACGTTCATCATTTCATATTAATTAATATTTTCCCCATAGAAAGCTAAAGAAATTGAAAATTTTGAAAATTAGATATATTTTATACGCCAAAGGAAGCTGTTTTATCCAGTTAGATTCATAAAAACCCTTAAAAATTAAATAATGGTAGCTCCCTGTAAGCCTTCAGTGTGCTTTATTTATTTATTGTTATAATTATAACAAATTGATTTTTCCTATGCTTTCCAATTGGCTTATTAAAATAAACTGCTATAACGGGCTTTATTTAGATGTACTGAGGAGTACTAAGGTCCCTGAATTTTAATTATTCACTAATCAAAATCAATAAATTATATAATTGTCTTAAAAAAATAAAAAATTTATTGTTAAATTTCAAAATAACCAAAATGATGACATTTATGAGAATTTTCAGATTTTTACATGACAAATCACCTTATTTACACTTGATTTTTTCCAGCAGAAATAACTTTATTTTAAATAATTGTATGAAAAATGAAAAACTTTTTTAAGTTTTGGTGCAGTATTTAATTTTCTTCATGGAAGTGCAAACTGTAAAGACCCACCATTACAAAATAAGATCAAGACATGGTTCATTTTATTGAAAAAATGACCAAATTTACAATAAAATGATAAATAATGACAAGAAAATTTTTTTTGGATTTACAATTAAAAATAATTTCATTTAATTAAATACAATAAAAAACTATGTTTAGGAAAAATAAGTAATTCACACCTAAACAATGACATGATTCCATCGAAACTTAAGGTGGTATTTATTGATTCAACGTCAGATGATGTTTTGTCATGACAAATCAGATGATAAATCATCTGACTTATCACATGATTAATCATCTGATTTATCATCTGACTTTTTTTGATAGGGAACCCTTTTCAAAACCCTATTTGAAAGTATTTGGTCCAGTTAGATACTTAGAAACAATTAAGTACAATAATAATTAGAGTATTGGCCCTCAACGTAAGCTATACGCATATCTAAGCTATCTGTCGTAGAAATCCAAGAGCAAGCATTAATCGATGGTACCCCAATTGGTTTCATTTTGTTCGAAAGCCAATTGGCCATGGTCGCAACTAAAAGCTAACCATAAGATGAACTGTAGCTACTTGTACATATAGCAAAGTGAAATTAGTATATAGAAAATGATAAAAAATGAATACTAAATTCTAGAAATTTTTACACACAAGTAGTTACAGTTCATCTTATGGCTAGCTTTTGGTTGCGACCATGGCCAATTGGCTATCGAACAAAATTAAACCAATTGGGGTACCATCGATTAATGTTTGCCCTTGGATTTCTACGACAGGTAGCTTAGATATGCGTACAGCTTGCGTTGAGGGCCAATACCCTCATTATTATTGTACTCAATTGTTTCTAATTATCTAACTGGACAAAATACTTTCAAATAGGGTTTTGAAAAGGGTTATCATGTGTGTTTTTGAAAAAAACATTTTTTTCCACTTTTAAAGGCTAGTACTGTTATTGAAAAATGAAAAATAATTAAGACCCCCGTTAGCCCTTAAATCACTTTGTTAAATACACGTTGATAATTTTTTTTATAATTTTATTTTTTGTTTCTGTTAAAATTTTTTGAATCAATGAATGTTTTTCTTAATAGGTATGTAGCAACATCAATAAATGTCATTGTGATCATGGCTGGAGTGGTCCTGATTGTTCACTGCAACAAGAGCTGCCGACACAGACAACAGTTAGCAGTGTGGAAATAACATTTTCTCCATCCTCAAAAAATAAAATGGAAAAGAAAGAAACGCCTTATGGTGAGAAATAAAGTTAATAAATTAACCCATTATCGTCAGGACGTATGTTTTTTAAGACAATTTTAAGTCGAATTTCATTATCATTTACAGTTTTTCGTTAAACTTTGAAGTTCATGTCATTGATATAAAATTTTATGCTTTTTTAGAATCTGGACTTAAAACTGAATTGAAATTTAAAGTTAAAAGTTGTATACAACTAAACAATAAAAAATAAAAATTTTATTTAAGAAAAATTGTTGTTAAAATGGTAAGAGATTTGATTCATCGCACTTTTTGAGCGTCTGTTCCGGCCTTAGTGTGATAATCATAAGAAAAAATCGGCGAAAATTCTGATATTTTGATATTAAAAAAATTAAAAATCACTTTCTGCATGAAATTTTCGACTCCAAAACAAATATTGTCAAAATCTAATTTATCTATTAATTAATTATTAAATAATAAGTTGGTTAAAAATAAATGTGGATAATGCTTTCCAGAAACTTACATTGTGGACCTAGTGTGACATTCCAGGTATACAAATGTCCATATAAATATAATTAAGGAATTATATTAACCTTCTTGCTGAGGTCTAATGATTATAATATTGGTTGTAGGTAGAATTTATAATTTTATGCATATATTTTATTAAAATGGTTAATAGTGACCCCCAATTCATACAATAGTCTTAAAGAATATCTGATAAAAATTTCGTAAGGATCGGTTCATTGCTTCCCGAGATTTTGTCAATGTGCCATTGAAAAACCTTGTTTTGAGAAAAACGCGATTTAAATTTTTTCTTAGCATTTGAGCGCGATGAAATGACTAACTGAAATTTGACTAAAAATATAGTTAGACTGCTCCAGTCTTTATGAATTTTTAATAAGATACTTCTGTTTACGTATACTTTTTAAAAATGCAATAAAAAAATCGATTTTTTGAAAATTTTAATGGTAGTATATCCCTTAATAACATTCATTGGTTGCAGATCTTACACATACTGATACAACTCTTGTCCTCGCTGGTTGAAATCGTTGACTGCCTGCAATGCCCCTTGGCTATGGTTAATGGGCGAAGGCCGTAGATGCTCTGAATCGTGTAGTCTTAATAATCCAAAATTACAACCAATAGTTGCAATAAGAGCGATCAATTACGATACACCTCGTACAAAGATCGAAGTTACAAGAAGGACGAGTTGTCTTTAACGCCAAGTTTATACCTGATTCATCAAGCGCTTATCAACTCGATACTGTTGTTTTGCACCTGTAAGACCAACGTGCCAGAATCAATGGCCTAATAATAGAGCTGAGATTTGTGAAACCTTTCGCAACGGGTGCTCATAGGTCATTTATTTAGATATTTCATTCAAGCTCTCGGTTATCTTGTACTGCCTTGATCTACGTAACCTCACAGCAGTTTTGGTTGATAGCCGTGTATATCTCAATCTTGCGGCTACTTGTAAATTTAGGACTTGTGTGTGTATATTTATCGGCAGCACAGACCGATTTATTTGTTTCACGATCATCCAATGTGTGGCTGCTCGCTAGTCGATTTTGGCTGATTTGTTTGCTTTTACTCATATAAATTTAGGCAGAGTCGGCAGATGGAAAGTTACATTGCACGATGTAACACCAGTAAGGTATAAGCTCCTATATTCGATCAATAATTAATATTAACAACCTAATTGTACGTAAGAAATTTTTTTTAATAATTGGCTGAATGAATCGAACATCCTCAACAGAAATACATTATTTAAAATCAGATATCAAGTTTTAATTCTATATAAAAAATTGATTTAAATTTGATCGAAAATAGGGGCGTATACCTTAATGTGAATTGTGACCTTCAAATATTAAATACAAAAATAAATTTCCAAGATATCAAAAAACATTCATCTTAATATAATGAATCAGTAGTCATCGTACCTCGAGACGAGACGGTTGTGTCTGTTCGTTTACTTACGCGATCTTAGAATCTCATCGAGCGTATAGCACAAACTCCCGCCAAGATGGCAGCACTTATGCAATCTTACTTAGCTTCTATCTATTTAAATTATTATTGAAATGTCTTTAACATTGCGTTCTAATTTATTTTATATCTTAGCTAGAAAAAATTCTGAAACAAAAATTTAAATTTGTCGAATTTGTTTCATTATGAACTTCAATTCCAAAGATATTATTTGATATGGGCAAAAATTAGTTCCTTACATAGAGATACTTAATCAATAGTATTAAAATGGTGACTCCTAACCACCCGAAAAAAGTCTTCTAAAATAGAAGAAATAAAGTATATAGCAAAAAAACTGCAATTGTTTCTCCTGTATATTGCACTCAGCAGATTCGGTGCGCCCTTCTTATTGCTCTCAATAACTACCCATGGCCGCAGTCAGCCCCAACACTGTTCCCATGCTGAAGTTATAGTACAACCACTCGTATACAGTAAAGTCTCTTTAGTGGACATTATTAAAACCTCGAAAATTGTCCGTAATTCAAAGAAGGGAAAAAATAGAAAAAAGTCAACGAAACAGCAAAAAGAGATAAATGAGTAAAATTCATTTCCTTTTTTTTACATACAAAAAAAACCCTGCTTCAGATGATTGCTGCTTAGCCCTTCTGCACACTGCCCCAAAAAGTATACTAACAAGGAGACCCCCCCAACTCCGGGTCATGGATTCGCTCCAAAAATTTTTCGGTCTCTTGGTACCCCAAACTGAAGCTCCCTGTGCTCAGTTTAATCTCATGGGCCATATCGATATAGAAAATAATAACGATTTTTTTATGATGTGAAAAGTCCTCTAAAAAATGGGCCCTAAGGCTCGTGAGATTAAACTAAGCAAAGGGAGCTTCAGTATTCAACTCCGGGTCATGGATTTGCTCCAAAAATTTTTCGGTTTCTTGGTACCCAATACTTTTGAATAAGTAATTTATTAATTGTTACGTATGTTATAGCATCTTTAATGCGTTATAATAAACATGTGATAACTAATATAATTTTTCATTTCCATTGTTGACATTGTTATGCTTATCTTTGGACTCCAATGGACACGCTGAAAATGATATAAACAGAAAATTACCATGGCTCTAACACAGTATACTTAGTTATAACGCTCATGTCAGTTGTAGGGGGGGTTTTTGTAGTATTTGCAATGATGGCACTTTGCTACAGGTCAGTCGTAGTGCATAAAAACTTCTCACTCTGCCTCAGGTTAGTATGCAGTTGAATGTTCATAGAATAGAAAAACAACAAATATCTTCAAATATCCTGCATGCATAACACATAGATAACACATTTTTTTAGTTCTAATTACAATTTCCATTCCAAATTTGTACATATTGATCTTTCTTGTCAGTTTTTCTAAAAAGGACAAGATGATGTTTAGAGCTGATATTTTCAAATTGCCACACAAATCGAAGTAGTTGAAATAATTTTTTTTATCATGAATTATGTTCATACTGCATGTGATTGACAAAAAAACTTATACCCATGCTCTGACATCCCAATTACATGACTTTTTTCATAATAGTCAATATTATGATTGGATGGATTGACCACGTGATTCTGACGTGAGTTTTTTATCAATATTGATCGACTCGCGACTCCATCTGTCTTTGCCTATGTTAAATTTATACGAAAAATGTGAAAAGGTATTTACAAAATAATACTTCTAACGAAGTTACATCGGCTATGACAGGGTCTGACGGTGTAGATCGTTCCTTCACCTTATCCTAGAAACTTCCCAAGTAGAGAGAGAGACATTTAGGAGCCTAATATAATACCAGCGCGCTCACAAGATAATTTTATGTGCGCCGAAACATGCGTATTTGTGTTCGAAGCGCGCAAAATTGCGATACTGGCGTAAGCGAGTGAGCGAGAGCAGAGGACAGCATCGGCGACGGTTGAGTCGAGTGGGATCAAAGAGCCACGAGTGAACGCTGGACTGATCACCCTGTATTGGCCCGTGTGACTGGAAAGTCGAGTATCCAATTACTGCGATTTCGAGTGTGAACTGTGTTTGGAGAAAATTTAGCTGGCCTTACTCGTCTGTTCACGCTGTGTACAATTCAGACTTGGTCCAACTATTTAACCATTTCGAGAATCCAATCGTAAGTCACCGTTGCTTTATCGCTACGCATTGCGCCACTTTAAACTATTGATTCTATCTCTCTCGATCATCATTCACCTCTTAGCCCTGTCCCTACGACCTGTCGTCTACATTAAACTAGCTGAGGTGACACGAAGCTGCTATTGAAGACCCTAAGTGTATTGATAGGAACCGGCTATACAATATAGAATCTATTTGGCTGATATGTATACACTTCATAATTGTTCAACTATTTAAGCCTCACATCCGCGACTGGGGCCCTTTCAATAAAGTCAATAATTATTATTTTTTTAAACGATTGTACAACAGTAATTTATATTCGGCAGTCCTTTTCCCCGTTTATAGGTATTGGCGGACGTCGTCCATTTTTGTTTGAAGTGTATAGATCCATTTTTATTTACATAAAAACTTGCAGGTACCCAATATCTTTAGTTATGCCTCGTGGGATGTATACAAATAAATTTAACTGAAGAAGGAAATTTCTTAGTCGAGTCCACACATTTGTAATTGTTCAGGAATTACATAAATAATTAATAAATAATTGGATGGGTTCATGAGTAGGTCTTACAATAAAACACTGCATAGGTGGCATCAATTTCAATTTTAACTTTTGTTTTTTATTATCACTTAAATCATTCTTAATTAGTTTAAACTGAGTCAATAAATTTGGAACGTTAATAATAATTACAACAGTTGTCGTGTTCACTGATATTATTGATACTACACGATGGGTAGTCAAGAGTCTGTACAAATACAAATGATTTGAGCAGTCGACGCGAAGCTAGATTTTATTAATTCACACTTGTCTTCTACCAGTTGTTGCACTTGAGACAAACAAGGCTTTCTCTTGAGCACACAGCGAGTTGAACTTGATTTGTGAGAAAACCGTAGCACAACGATTGAGGTTATATTAATCCTCTTGTCTGCCTGTGGGAGAGGCCGGAATAGAAATTGACCGAGATCACGTGAGGTTACACATGGCACCGTGTAACCTCACTTTCTCTCGTCGTGCACTCGTGAAACTAAGGTGCACCAAATTATTCTGAGAATTGAGTCGGTGACAAAAAGATCCCACCAGGCTGCAGTAGACATTATTGGTCTTCAATTGCAGCCTGGATGGTGTCTTTACCTGGTCGCAATCGATGAGCAGCTTCAGATTTGCTGACCAATAAGTTGAGCCTCAATGAGTACGCCGATGAGATGTACTTTGTAAAAGTCCTTGATGAACTGCTTGGCACTTGTTGAGATGAGCTGGAGTAGTCGAGTTGATGAGATTTTCCTTGAAGATGATGCTCAATGTAGCTTTCGTTGAGGAGATGTCGGGGATTCAGTCGCAGTTGCAGCTATCTTAACACGAGGCACATGTAAGATGCAGATTTGCTGAGTATAAAAACGAGAGAGAGAGAGAGAGAGAGAGAGAGAGAGAGAGAGAGAGATAGATAGATCACTAGAAAGATTATTATTTACAAAGATTTTAGGCAATATTAAGCATATTAAGTACAACATGTACAGATCTTCGACGCACATGTGTACAATTCTCAATTTCAAGTCTACAATTTTAAATCGCCGGTGAAACTGGTCTAAAAAATGTGTGGTGATGAACGTGGGTAGATAAAAGATGAAGGTTGAAAGTGACGGAGGAAAGTTGGATGGAAATATAAACTGATACGGGAGGATTTATTGATTTGAGACTGAACTAAAGATAGTTGAATAATAGATCCTGGAGTATGGTTGCAGAAGAAAAGAAGATCAGTTTAAGTCGGCGGCCAGGAGTTTGATGAAGGATATTGTTTTCAGCTGAGGTAAGGATCATGGATTGAAGGCTCATTGCTGTGTAAAAATACTATTTACAAGATCAGTTGCTACGTAGACAAAAGAATTCTTTATGGCGCTTGTGTGTACCGGTCCATGGTGGAGAGATTGTGGATTTGATCTCAGTGGGTCCCACTGGTCCAATACACCTGCCACATGGGTGAACTTTTGCGAGAGATATAGCGGATTGTTGTGTGATAGTACCGATACTGCAAGTGTAGCAATGAAGTACTGGTGGCGGTGCTCAACCGACAACCAACCCAGTTGGTGGCAATAGGGGGTTATGTGTTCTCTCCAGCCAATGTCTCCAGAAACAAAGCGAACGCACGCGTTTAGTGCTCCTTATAGTTGCAGGTTCTCATCATTGAATAGATCATGGTAAACAGCACAGGCATAATCAAAATGGGGAAATATAAGTAATTGTACTAAGTCCTTGCGATTTTGCATAGTGAGTGCATGCCTGTAGTGCCTCAAGGATCTAAGAGCCCCAAAAACTCTGGCCACAACGGTGTCCACCTGTTTGGACCAGTCGAGTTTAGACTGGATCCATACACCCAGGCATTTTACCTCCGTACTATAGTCAATCTGCGTGGTACCAATTGTGATCTTAGGCGCCAAACGGAGATCAATCCCTCACAGGAAGGGGTCGCTACCAATCAAAATGGCCTTCGTCTTTATGGCATTCAACGAAAGGCCGTTTGCCTGTGCCCACTCTGACACCGCACCCAAGTCACGATTTACTCTACTAATCGCTTGATCAAACGCATATAGTGGAAAGGAGTGGTAGACTTATAAATCATCAGCAAACATCATGTGTTTGGAGAATCGGAGTTCAGTAGGCAGATCATTGACAAACAGTGAGAAGAGCAAATGGCCAAGTACACTTCCCTGAGGCACACCCGACGTCGCAGGAAGCTATGTCGATATTCTACCGTCATTCTGTGCAACAGCCTGCATTCGTCCCCCGAGGTACGACGCGAACCAACGAACTGCTCGGTCAGAGAAGTTGAACTTTCTCAGTTTAGCGAGAAGAAGCTGGTACGGGACTGTATCAAAGGCCTTGGAGAAATCGATCAGGACGAGCACAGTAATCTGACTACTCTCGATGGCACGCCTCGCGTCATCCATGACACCCAGCAGCGCGGTTTGAGTACTGTGACTACGTCTGAATCCCGATTGTCGAGGGTTTAGCAGACATTTTTCATCCAGAAAGGATATCACCTGATATATACAGCCCTCTCGCACAGCTTGGTAATCGGTCTCGTGTGTGACAAGGATGTCACGACACGCTGCTTTGCTAACGGTATGATGAGGGTCAAAAGCCAGGCACGCGGGAAAACTCCCATTTCGATGGAAAAATTTACAATCCTGACTAGTGGTTCAAACAGAGCAGGGGTTGCCATCTTGATCATGTGCACAGAGATACTGTCAGGACCCAGCGCTCGTGAGCTTGATATGCGTGCAATTCTTAACATTTCAGTAGGAGTGGTAGGGCTCACGTCAAAGACCGGGCGATTCAAGTCAATTTGTAAAGCGAGCTGAGTGAGCAGGTCATCTTCTGACAATGGAGGGGAGGCTGATGAGATGGTTGCGAAATGATTATTTAATGCATCCAGTGAAAATATGCCTACCGATGAAGGGAGCTCCGGAGAAGCAAGACCAAGTCGGTGAAACTCGAACCACCTTGATTTGGCGTTGGGTGCCGACAATATCCTATTTGCGATGTAGTCGTTTTTAGCCTTGTCTAGTCTTGTTTTGACTATATTTCGGATTTTTTTGTAGTTATAGATATCTATTGACAGCTTCGAGTCTGAGGCACGTTTATAGGCGTGGTCTCGATCCTTCATAAACTGGCGCAAATCGGGTGCCACCCACGGCTCAATGGTGCAATTGTGTCGAACACAGAGAGCAACCCAGTAGTAAAAGATGTGACGGCTGCATCTACACCAGATTCAGAAGAAGCAAGATCAGCTGAAGTGACGTCAAGAGATTCTGTAGTCTGCCATGGTTCACCGATCCGAGTCTCCTTGATTGACTGACATTTAAAGGTTTAGGTGGCTTGACGGGTACACAGTATCGAAGCTCTATCAGATCATAAGCTGATAAAAATGGGGTTGAGGTCTTGCTGTAATGACCCACCGGAGTAGAATCACAATCATGGGATGATGAGTGGGTTCGGACGGGACTATGAAGAGGGCGAATGAGTTTACGAGATTTCTGAATTTTATTGCAGTTTGGTTTGATACAGCTAAATTGGTGTTCCCAATTGGTGGTCACCAGTGACGATTAT